AATCACAGGCATCCTATTTGGACATTTGACATGGCAAGTGTCTGCAATGTAACATGTTGCTAAAAACTAACAATACAACAATCTAATAAGCATAGAATGAAATTATATATATATATATATATATATATATATATATATATATATATATGACCTTTTTAATTTTTTGTGTGTATGTATGTGGATGTGTGTGTGTGTGTGTGTGTGTGTGTGTGTATATATATATATATATATATATATATATATATATATATATATATATATATATATATATATGACCTTTATATAAAATGTTTTATTTAGATATGTTATAATATATATATATATATATATATATATATATATATATATATATATATATATATATATATATATATATACGTATATATATATACATTGGCACAATGTACTTTTAAAATAAGGAATAAAGAATTTTCCATATAGATTTTTTTTACTGGTATTTCAGCTGTATTTTGAATTTCTCATTGCATTGTATTTTACAGTTAAAGGAAATAAACAAAAACTTGGCGGATAATGTTCTGGCAGAAAATGACCAGTATCTTATTTGTTTTTCCTACAGATTTTCTTCTTCCAGTGTTCATTAGATGTTATGAGAAAACTGTGAGGAATGACAGCATTGTTTTTGTTTCTGAACCTGTTTTTTAGGCACACAGACATTTCTGTTCTTGTAAAACACAAAGAGTTTGGCACAGAATGTTCTTTCATTTTTTGAGAGGCGCTGTTTGACATATTTCAAAAAGGGGTTTGGCTGCCTCTGCTTGAGGCAAATGGCAGATCATTTCCAGTGGCAGGTGCAGTGCAAACCATTGAGAAAGAATGACAAAAAAATTAGTTTGCAAATATTGAGTTAGATTTTTGTCAAAAATAACTTTTTTTATTGTGAATAAAATTAAATAAATAAAGGTGATTTTCATTTCTCTCCCATTTTAAGTCTCCTCTGGTTTTCGCACCGATTTTAATGTCCTGAAAAGCAATACATTTGCATTTAATTTGTTTTTAATAAAGAAGAAAGCTCTGAAATACTTGAGCACCAGCAACTAATTGCAGTTTACTGTTGTCAGTTGAGTGGCTCTTGTGCACACAAGCCACATGGTGTTTTTCTCTGCAGTATAGCTTTCACGATATATTAATTTTCAAAATCTTTAATCAATGCTGGGCTTGTTGGAGTTCTGACATGAGAAATGGATTGTGTATAAGTGCATAATGCTGTCATTTCCAAGAATGAAACCATTTGAAGGATATGTTTATTTCATGTGTAAAAGCCCATTGGGCCTATTAGGCTGTAAGAGGCAGTGGAAATTATTACCTCGTTAGTGGTGTTTCTTAAGGCTAGCTTCACTGTTGCTATTGCTCGAGCTCGCCCATCAGGATTTGAACATAACTCTAAAACTTTTAGCAAACCCAGAACCACGGGCTGTAATTATGCACAGAAGTGTCAATGTTTTTAGTACTTGGATTGAATATATATATATATATATATATATATATATATATATATATATAGGTCACCCCAAAAGGATAAATCTAACTTATTTTTCTCATTTCATTCCAGACCAGTATCTGTTCTTCTTTGAAACATTAAATATGCTGAAGAATCACTTGTTGCTCTTTTCCATTCCAGTGAAGAAACACTGACAAGGGTCTGTCAAGGACAAAAAGAAAAAAAAAATATGGACAAATAGTTTATTTAACTGAAAATCTTGGCTCTCAAATCTCATTTGGGGGTTTGTTTTTCTTTGTTAGAACTTATTTTATTTAACTTTTAAGCATGCATTCATACATTTATTTGTAGAATAACTTTATTAGTTTATATTATAGTTTTCAGATTTATTGTTAGTTGCATACTTTTATGGTGCTTTTGTCCTTTTTATGGGAGAAACAAAGCTTTTCAAAAATTTGAGTCAATTAAACCAATTGCTTCACAAAATGATCAGCTGATTCGAAGCACTGGAAACGCCATTCGCTGATAAAAAACATGGAATTTTTAAACCGTTATGTCTTAAAGAAGCCTTATTTACTGAAATAATGTGACTTTGGCTGTTTCATCTTTCAAATTACTGGTTTGAAAAATATAATGCAAAGGTTTTAAAAAGCCATCATTAAATACATTTTTATCTTAATTTTTTTTTTTCAAAATAGCAAAACTAGAAAGAACTTCATAACGAAATGGAACAATGTCAGTGATGACCAAAATTTTATTTGTTGGGTAAATTATTTTGCTTTAAAGTGTACCAAATTATTTTAATTGTTAATTTATGTTGGCAGCATTTCAAAAATAAATGTGCTGGACAGGCCTTTAAACAAAAGAATGAACTTGTACACCTGAACTTTATATTAAAGATTTAGTTCGAGGAACAGCAGCATCGAAGCTTCAGAAGGTTAGTGTTGTCTTGTTCTTGTTTACCTGTGCTCCTGTTGACTCTAGCAGGCCTTCACTTTGAAATGCTCCCACTAAATTTGAGTCTCTGTGAGAAAGATTAAAGCTTTAAGTTTGTGGTTCTGTTCTCCTGCTGTCAAATGAGTTGTCCAGGAGCAGCAGCTTCAGAAATCTCTTTGTTGTTTCCTACCCAGCTTGGGCTTTTTAGTGCAATAGAGGATCTATGAAGTTCAGTAGAAGCTCTGAGGAATTCCCTGCAGGGGGCATTGACTTGATGGATCAAAGCTACTTTGAATAAGCCTAGATTTAGCGCTCTACAGTCTTCGTTGTGAGCAGTGCATGGTCTTGGACTTTCACCAACTCTTATGCTTCATCACCGCAAATTCCCAGTTCAAAAAACATGCTCGGATTTTCCACACATGCCCATAAATTGAGTTCGCCTCAAGCTTATAGCCTTGGGTCAATCTCACGTCAAAGTCTCAGATTAAATTTTTCACTTTCCAACTTCATACTTCAAAGTTATAATGATAAAGCAGTTCTATGCTGTTTTAAGTACTTGTTCAGGCAGAACTGTGTGTTCTGGTTCTCTGTTGTAGAGCAGCTCTATGTTGTTTTAGACATTAATGCTTGTTTTTACTTATCTATGATTTATGCATCCTACACCTGAAATATCATTCTTCTGCTATTTTCAGCGCACCTTTTTTTTTAGCTTCACTATTTTTCATTGAAGTCTCTACTCCCTGAAACAGCACTACTTTCACCTAGTTCATGAGATAAAAACAGATTTATTTTCAAAAATACCTGGACTCTGTCAAAGTCCTTTTAGGCCAGTCCTGTCGAATGGGGTAATCCATCTACTGGAAGTTGAGCTGCCATCTTGTAGCAGAACTTCACTTGCGTTAGCATTTCCATTGACTCTCATTCATTTTGGCGTCACTTTGACTGCGAATAACTTTACATCTGAGGCGTTTGAAGACCCCATTTGTCCTTTATTTATTTCTAAAGATACGCGACAATGTATAAAATGCTCCATTACCTTGTAGCTTATGTTATAGCCACGTAGAAGCAGTTTTTTGTAAAAGTAGGCTAACGATTGCATTGCGTCATAACCAAGCGACACATGCCACAGCCACTAGAAGACAGACGGGTTGCTCACGTCACATCTACGTCGTCAAGCTCTCTTTGAGTCTGCGTGTCAGGAACGGAAGTCCTAAAAAATGGCCAAAAACGGGCTTCACTTGTCTCAATGGAGTTCCAATGAGATGGCTCTGTCCTCTTCTTATACTGTCTATGGTCCTGCCACTCGGCCACCATCTTGGCAAAGCCTCCAGGTAGCTATTTCGGACTAACAAGACCAGGCTCCTATCTAAACGAATGGGCAGAGACTCAGAACTGCACTTTGACTGGTCACAGGGACATAAAACTGCTTTTATAGAAACAGTAATAAAATATGATAAAAATCGCTGAAAAGGGTTAAAATCGCCTTTATCCCCACAGGTTATACTTTTACGGGAGATTCCGGGAGATTTTAACTAATTTGCCGTCGTCAGGGAGTGCTATCAATCTGCCGGAGACTCCCAAACTTCCGAGACTTGCAACGTCTGATATTTACACAACTAAAGCCCCGTTCACACTACACGCGACGTGATACCATTTATTTCAATGGTGAAATAAATCTTGATCATAAATCTGGTGAAACTTCCGGCGACACGCGCGACAGCGACCGTTGGCGACCGGTGGGGCGTGTCCAGCGACGCGACAAAGTTGAGAAATGTTTAACTTTATGCAAATGAAGGGCGATTTTCGCGAACGATAGGCTTAAATGTTTCCCGGCTTGACTGTTAAAAGCAGACGATTGGCTTTCCAGCGGTAAGGGGCGGGGCATGTGTATACAACCGCCATCTTTGGTATTACAGGTTTTCCCTATATAGTTGTATTTAGGCCGTGTGTCCACCAAAGCGTTTTTCTACGCGCCTGGCGTACGTTTTCAATTGTTTTCAATGGGAGCGCTGTGTTTTTTAAACGCCATGAGCGTAAGGAGGCGCTGAGCATTTTTTTCACGCTGAAGCGTTTTATACTAATGTTCAACTTTGGTTAAAACGCAGCGCTCATCAATGTCACTTTTTACCCAGCCGTCCAATCACAGTGGAGGAGGGGCGGGACTAAACCACACTGCCCAACTGTCACAACATTCTTTCTGTACAACGACATCAACCAACAGAGCTTTAACCAAACAAAATGGGTGAAAAATACATTTTTAGTGTGAAACAAATTATCTGCGAAATCAGTTACAATTAAACTGTGCTGCGGATATTCTACATCATAGCAACGAAACGTCTCAACGGAAAAAAACGCTCTCAAGCGCCCAAAACTCGGCATCTTGGGGTTTTCAGCTGGCTAAAAACGCTTTGGTGGACACACGGCCTAAGGATTGAGGAAGTGGCATGTCTCTATATAAATACTGTAGTCTCTGGCTGTGTCATCAATTTTCCCTTTTTAAGTTAAAGGGTTATGGGTTTGTTCACATCTGTAAACCTAGGTGTGATACTAAAGCTTTAATTCTTTGCTTGAATCTTTTTTCCTCTGTCTTCTCTGTGTGTCGTAGGCACACATTCTGGCAGTACCGCAAAGAAAATCCCAAGTCCCACGTAGGCGACCCTCCACCAGACGGTCTGCCCGGCTTCAACAGCGGCGTAATGCTTCTGAACCTTGAAGCCATGCGTCGCTCGACCTTATACAACCAGCTTCTGGATCCCGGGCGGATTGCCCAGCTCGCTGAGAAATACCACTTCCGAGGGCATCTGGGCGATCAGGATTTCTTCACCATGATCGGGATGGAGCACAGGGAACTGTTTTACCCACTTTCATGTGGCTGGAACCGACAGCTTTGCACTTGGTGGAGGGAACATGGGTACGGTGACGTCTTCCAGCTGTACTATCACTGCGATGGCCCGGTGCACATCTACCACGGCAATTGCAACACTCCTATACCTGATGATTGAGGGTTTTCGAATGCTAAATTTTTGATTAAACTCGAGTTTTTGTTTGCACATCTTGAACAAACCATTTAAAATCAAGTGGACCGAGGCAGAAGTGACTCGTTGTTACAGGTGCTAATAGGGTAGCATTCCCATGCCTACCACATTTAGACTATATACTCCAGCCATTACCACATTAATCATTCAACACACTTGAGGCTGTTGATGCCTTTCCAAAGTTGCTGAAAGAGATGCTTTAATACTGGTTCTTTTTCTCTTTCTAAATTATTCAGCACTCTCTCGGTAGTTTCCTCAATCAGGTGTCTCACCGAAATGCTCTTAGACTGCAGGTTTGGAAGGAGCCAATCAGAGCGCCTCTCTGTATTATTTACAGGTACAGTTGCTCTCTCGCAGTCACAATAAGGTACCGCTTATGTCCGTAAAGCACTTTAACTCTTTTAATTTTCAATTTGACCTGTTTAATTTCAACTTAAACTGTCTTTAGTGTTTTATGCCACATTCTCCACTCCATTTCTCATTTTTTTGCAGCGATGATGAGAAAAGATGGGGAGAAAAGGGTGTTGACCCACTTTCCTGAGATTGTTGCGTGTGTGAGCGCTGACTTTGGAAATCAGTTTTCTCTTTGATGTGCAACTGTATCGCCTTAGAAAAGCCAAGATACACTGACTGGCCAAAAAAAAGTCGTTGTTTGGATTTAAATAGGCAAATGTAAGAGTCCATGATTGGATCATGCAGTGATTATGTTTCTAGCATGTTATATATTGGGCAAAGGTTCTTGCATCGCCAATACAAGATCTTGACCAAAAATCGATAGAAATCAAGAGTTGTTGTGATGTCGTTTCTAAGGTCTTGTATTGAGTCCAGCGCTCTGTAAAGTTTCCTCCTGCCCATCACATTGACTTTCAATGAATTTTTGGTCTAGACACAGAGTTGCCAATTCATGTGTGAAAATGATTCTTCATGCTCCTCCCAACCATTCTTTCACAATTTGAGCCTGATGAAACTTGACATTGTCATCCTGGTATATGGTTATGATGTGTCTTTCTACATGGTTGTCTCCATCAATTAGGATTAGAAGAACTGTTTCCAAACATATAACATGCTAGAAACATAATGTAAATCCAAACAGTGACTTTCAGAGCATCTGATAGTTGGTCTCATCAGGAAAACGTTTTTGCCGCGGTGCTCTAATCCGCCTGAGAAATGTGGAAGTGGGATTTGCTGGAGTACTCCAAAGGGAACAGCCTCAGCCCTCAGGGAGATATGCACTAGATTTCGAGGACAGAGCACTAGCTGTTGTGGTTGGCTGGCATTTATTGAACGATGTTGCTATTGGCAAAACTCTGCACGGGATTGTGTGAAACGCACGTCATAATCTCTGCAAAGTAAAACCAACAGCCCGCAGAGAAAGAACTTAGAAAGGACTCCTCACATGTGTTGCCAGGCAGCCGTTAGATCCCGCTTCGAGCTCTTCTGTGTTAATAATTGAATATTGTGAAGTTAAGGACTGCGTGTTTTGGGCTTTTCAGTTAAGTTGTTTTTTGTTTAGGTGGGAGTGCAGTCATGTTTTCTCTAGCCATTTCTGTTATCGAGACCTACTTTCGCCTGATTAAGTTAAAAGCAAAATGTTTAACTTATTAACCTTTAATCTGCTGGTCTCAGCAAAGTTTCCAATCACATGAAGTATTCGAACCTTTTCCCCTGTTTTATTTCTTGTGTCTCATTCGTGAAAGATGAGCAGAGCAGATTTTGTACATTTATCATTAAAAGGTTTTGGGTCGGAAAGATTTTTTATGTTTTTGAAAGAAGTCTTACATGATCACAATTTTTTTTTTTAAATTTATTTAATTTTATTATTTTTTTTAACTTTTTAATTTAGTTTAAAATGTAATTTATTCCTGTGATCATTACTCTAGTCTTCAGTGTTACATGTTCTTTCAGAAACCATATGCTGGTTTTCTGCCAAATAATCATTTATTATTATCATAATTTATGTTGAAAACCGCTGTGCTGGAAACTATTTTTTTTTTATTCAGGATTATTTGATTAACAGAAAGTTCAAAAGAACAGCATTTATTTGAAATATAAATCTTTTGTAACATTATTTAATTACACTTTTGATACATTTAATGCATCCTTGCTGAATAATAGTAATTTCTTTCAACAACAAAAAATCTTAATGACCGCAAACTTTTAAATAGGCAAAAAATCTAGTCACAATTTGTTTTATGAACAATTTACACAAAAGTGATTTATATTGTGTGTGTACCTTGTTTTTTGTGAACAAATCTTTTTCAAAGGAACCACTCAGGGAAGATTGATGGAGCAAAACAAGTTCTTAGTATGAGGAAATTATGATACAGCTTCCACAAACTAGACTTATACCAAACAGGTTATTTTTCTCAATATAACCACCTGTTTGTCCTTCAGTTTTGAGTATTGAATGTAAAACACTCACTTGTTGTGTCATGGAAATTGAATATTGCTCATGAACAAAATTCCAGAAGTGAAGTAGCACCAAATTATAATATATCTAATATATCGTTCTCTTAATTCAAATGTATTGTTGGTCAGAATAAAATGTCCTGGCATTTCCTAAGTTTCTTTCTCTTCCTATGAGCCATAGTCTACATGTGTTTGCATGTTGTAGTGTGGCTATATCAAAATCATTAGATAACTCTCTGTAATTTGATCAAGCATCCTTATGGGTTGCGCAGAGGCCTGTGTCCTTCATCCCAGCTTCAACTTGTTCCAGTTTTCATAACATTGTCTGAGCCGGCAGTGTTTTGCAGCATTGGTGTCCAGGAAAGCGTCGATGTGACCTAATTTCTGTCACATAACAACACAAATGCTCCTCCTGTTCACCAGCTGCTTCTGAGAATCTTCTTCTGCCCTCCTGCATTAAGTGCCCTCATGTTGTTTTTTCAAGCCCTATATGTATATGTTTATGCATAAAGCATCTCAGAATGGCAGTCTAGAAGGATCTTGAGCAGTTTATATTAACTTCATTATGATTAACAGCAAAATGACCGGCCAATCTCCACATCTGCCACAACATCAGTACTATTTTACTATTTTTCCTGTCGTTTTGTCGTAAACTCATTTGCGGTCTGTGGGCGGAGCCGTTTACACGACACCATTTTCAATTAAAAACGGAAAACTTTTTCTGGCTTTCATTGGCATGACAACTGTTTTTGAGAGCCTGAAAACTCAAAAGTTTTGAAAACGTTTTTTTTTTAAGTGCAAGTTTTTTGTGTAAACTAAAAAAAATTTAATTTGCAAAAGCGGTATTAAGTGTTTCTTTACAATGTGACCTCGCCAGCTGGCCTGGAAACCTCAAAGCGTTTATCTCATCTATTTTTCATGCGGTTTATTGTACATTTTATGTTTTAATCTATTGATTTAAGTTTTTTGTGGTTTTAACTTTTTTTATTCATTTAGACACATTTGCCATTAATTGGTTATCAACTACTGTATAACATTTAAAGGGATAGTTCACTTTGAAATAATTTGATATTTTTTAGGTCAAACTGTTCATGTCTATCAGTCATATAATGGAGGTCTATGGTCACCACCTCAAAGAGCATGCACAGAGAAGTCCAAATTAAACATGATTTAATGACTCGTAAGTCGTAAATGTAAATTTACATTTGCGAGTCATTAAATCTGGTTTAATTTGGACTTCTCTGTGCATGCTCTTTGAGGTGGTGACCATAGACCTCCATTATATGACTGATAGACAACGAACGGTTTGACCTAAAAATGTCAAAATTGAAAATACTGCGGAAACAAAGACAGCTACATCTTGGACGCCCTTGAGGTAAGCTAAAACATACCAAAAAATTATTTCAAAGTGAACTATCCCTTTAATTTATTATCAGCTTATCTGTCTTAGCCAGATTTTTATTATCAGTTCAACCCTCATTCAGCTTTTATTAAAATTTAATTACACCTATTCACTTTGGCGCTGCAAATCGCTGTCAGTGTGAAATCTCATTTTGAGGTTTCTTCAAATCCTTAAACCTAGCAAGTCATAGTGAGTCTTGCTTTGTTTTTTTGTTTCTCAGGTATGCGTCTAGTCGAATGCATAGATGCAACTGTCATTAAACTAAGCACTTTTGTCATATATTTCTCAACGCTTATCTTGATGGATAAGAGCATCGTAAGGACTCTAATTTTGGGTCAGACATTAAAAATGTGATTAATTTACCCTAATTTATACTGTCAGTGGCACATCACCGTGCCGTGTATCCACTCATCCGCTGCTCTGTGTAACTCGATAAGCTGAATCACGTCACACATGACTTTTCTAAAGCCCGTGAGGAGGGGATGAAGTGACCAGAGTTCTCTTTTAGTCGGATTAAATGATGCTTTGTTGTCCATCGTCTCCTCGGGCCCTCTGTTGTCAGGAAGGTGCTGGTTATTTGGGCTTTGCTCACAATCACAAAACTGCAGGTGAGGGCAGCACTGACCTACATTAATGTGGCACAATAACCTATTTTTCCACTTTCTCAAAATTCTATTCTGGTGCTTTTAGTTATATACCAAGGTTTATTGTCATGAAAGCACCAGGTGCTTCCGTTGTTTGTTTGCCCTATAAATCTAAAACAAGTTATATAAAATTTGTCCAGGTGCATTTTTATCAAATAAATGATCCACGAACAGAGTCAGGACATTTAGTTATTATTTTTGACAATTGCTTATCCAACTTTTTGCCCATTGTGTGCATAGTTTAAATGTACACCTTATAATACATGAATATTGTCATGTACTGAATCTCATGTCATTCCAAACAATATTTTTTGTCCTTTCAATGAAAGTCAATGGGGTCGAATGTTGTTTTGGACACTGTTGACTGTCATTTTATGAACGTAAACCGTTCAATTCTTCGGAAATAAAAAGATTTGGAATGACTTGAAGGTGAGTGAACTATCCTTTGAATTTATCATCTAATTCTCCTACAGATAAATTGGTAAAACATGCAATTATTTGTGATATTCCTTTAACTTGTGTTCTTTTATTTGATTCAGACTGGTACTATGACTCACTATGCTGAACATTGGGACCTTTGAAATTGAAATGTACCCAAATGAACATCATTCCTCATCTTTTGTCCCCCCGGAGCTCTGTGTGTTGTCAGAAGTGCTGCGGGTTCATCAGAACTCTTCTCTTTGAATCGCAGTGCTACATCAAGGGGAGGTAAGAAAAGACAAGACGCATCCCATTGAGAATTAGTTGACAAGTCTTTGAACTGAAAGTGAGAGCAAATGAATGTACAGTAGGCTGATATGGAAGGCAAGTAGTTTCTAGTATTAATTTCTATGCATAACTGCATGTGGACTTGAATGAGATATCTTATCGTGCCATTCTTCTTTTTTTACCTTAGAAAAAGTGGTAACACTTTACTTGAAGGGGAGTGTATACTGTAAGACTGACATGACACCTTCATAACCATGACATGACATATGTCTTGAATATGCAAGTAGTGTTTATGCATGTTTATGACAACTGTCATTAAGTGTCTTTCACTCAATAAAGCCATTTTGAATGCAAATATGGCATTGTTTAAGATGTGTTTGTTATGACATCTTGACATAAACCATCATAAACTTGACATCACATTAAGTTAAACTGTCACGTGGTTGGCTTTGACATTGGCTGTCATGAGGCCATTATAACTGTGTCATGAATATTTTTCGTGACCTCAGCTACAGTGGTACTAATTGAAATAGTCATTAAAATGTTATAATGGCTTCATGACAGCCAATGTCAACATTAAATGACAGTTTAATGTAATGTTAACCAATAAAGCTAGGTGGTTTCTTAAGTTTGATCATTAATCTGCTATGTCATGTTTATGACAGGTTGTGTTGTCTTAGTAATGTCAAGTTATCATGACAAAGACACTGACAGGTTATGATGTCTCAAAACAATGTCATATTTGCATTAAAATGTCATAACTGAGCGAATGACACTTAATGACTGTTGTCACAAACATGCATACAACTTCCTTCATATTCATAACACACTCTCAGAAAAAAAGGTTCAAAAGTTGTCACTGGGGCTGTACTTTTTCAAAAGGTAAACTTTTGTCAATTCCATGAGCTAATAAGTACATTTTAGGTGTTAATATGTACATTTTGGTGCTAATATGTTCATTTCAGGAGCTAATATGTCAATTTCATGAGCTAATATGTCCATTTTAGGTGGTAATATGTACATTTTAGGTACTAATATGTCAGTTTAGGTGCTAATATGTCATGAGCTAATATGTCCTTTTTAGGTGCATATGTACATTTTAGGTGCTAATATGTACATTTTTAGGTGCTAATATGTACATTTTAAGTGTTAATATGTACATTTTAGGTGCTAATATGTCAGTTTCATGAGCTAATATGTACATTTTAGGTGCTAATATGTACATTTTAGGTGCTAATATGTACATTTTAAGTGTTAATATGTACATTTTAGGTGCTAATATGTCAGTTTCATGAGCTAAAATGTCCTTTTTAGGTGGTAATATGTACGTTTTAGGTGCCAATATGTACATTTTAAGTATTAATATGTACATTTTAGGTGCTAATGTCAGTTTCATGAGCTAATATGTCCTTTTTATGTGCTAATATGTACATTTTAGGTGCTAATATGTACACCAAGGTACCAATATGCAGCCTTTGGGTACAAAAGTGTACCTTTTGAAAAGGTACAGCCCCAGTATCTTTTTTTTTTCTGAGAGTGCATACGTCATGTCATGATTATGAAGGTGTCATGTTAGTCTTATGCACACTCCTTCAAGTAAAGTGTTACCGAAAAAGTTTACTCGATAGACACAAAATCTAGATTCATGAATGTCC